CCCGTATGATACCGCCAAGGGAGTGTGGCTGCAACTTTGCCCCGCGCTCCAGGAGCAGTGCTACCGTCTTGCGCGCCGAGTGGTTTTCCAATAACAACCGAGTTAAGGCCGTCTGGCCGTACTTATCTAGGATGTTCACATCGACACCTCGAATGGCAATCAGACGCTCTGTCGCCTCATGCGATGTCATTGCCAACTCAAAAAGGAGTGGCCGTTTATCAACATCGACATCTGTTGCCCGCACCATGCCATTCGGATTGGCCCCGCGTCAAATCAGCCTCCGAATCAAGACGTCTCTATCGGAGCTGGATCTCCCCGGAAGAGACACCGGGGGAGCCAGAAGAGCCAAGCGAAGGAGATGTTGCAGGTCACATCGTACTTCACGTTCAAGGAAACATGCGGCAAGGCGAAATAGGCCATTTCGGCAACAGTGTTCCAAGAGGCGGTCCGCGTGGTTCTCGGGGGCTATCCTGCCATAAACATCGGTCTGTTGTCGAAGGAGTAGTCGGATGGTTGAACTACGTGCAAGCGGGCACTGTACCGCATAGGACAGCGGGGTAGGGCCACGCGCCTCTTTCGAGACCACCCCCGGTGCCGTTTTCCCGAGGATCCGCTTGACGACAGCGTCCAGACCGGTGGCGGAGGCAATATGAAGAGGCGTAAGTTGGCTACTTGATGACGGCTGATCTCCTGTCAACTTTCCCAGATACGTCGTGATATCTGGAGCAAGCAACTTGTCCCAGTGCCATTCCGTTGCACTCGTCATGCTAAGAATAGACGTGACGAGTTCCTCTCTTCGCTTGAGAACGGCGACGGCAAATGGGGACAGGCTAGCAGCAGACTGACCCAGAATTCGTGAAAGCTTCGATACAAACCGCACTGAGAACATGTCGGCCAGCGTGATGGCGAACTGCGGGGCCCAAACATCCATCCCAGCATACACCGATGCCTCGACTACGCGGAATGCCACGGCATCATCACGGCAGTGAATCACTGCCCATCGAGCAGCAGAACAGCGTTCTGACAGAACGTTGTGCCGATAAATCCGTGGTCTGAAGGCTTTCCGAAACCCCTGGGAGCACTGCAAGACGCGTATCCGTGTTGGACGGTCACAATCGTTAAAGATGATACCAACAAGCTCGGGGGGTAGTCTGTCCAACATGGTTGTGTGACTCTGGTGTGATGTTCAAGTATGAAGCGAGAGAAGGTTTGATGGCGAGACCTCGAGACGACTCTGGTTGCAGCTGGTCGCGTCCTACTTATACAGGCTGGCCGCTCAACAACGCACGTGATGATTCGGGACCGTCGAGCCATAGGAAGACAATACAATGCAGGTCCGCTCCGTCTTCAGTTGCGAGATGGAATTATTGGAGACCTCATACTAGGGCCATCTGAGGTTGGCAACCTTTCGTGTGTCTACGGTACCTATGAGGCCCAATGCCAGCACATTCGCCGCATTCAATCTCTTCTCCTTGTGCTCTGACGACGCTATTCACTCAGCAGACCGAATCTTGCCCCTGTATCCCTCTACTGCTTCCTGCTCGCGTCCCCATCTGGTCGTGCGATCGCACGACAAAGATTGCCGTCCTCAACCACCCAACGGAGTGTGCCCAGTGCATGAATGGCTAAAAGTTGACAAGATTGGTCATGTCTCCTAGATCCACGCCGTCCGCGTCCAAGCCCTCAGGCGCAGGAAACGCCTGTGCCGACTCAATTAGCTTGTAGAAGCTCTCCACCTTGACGATCAACTTCTCAACGCTTTACACATGCCAGACATTAGCATGCACCGCCAATAGTATCCGTTCTCGAATGAAC